GGTTTTCACACATGTTTTTTCGGGATTCAAAAAAAACAAAACTCCTAATGAATGGCATCGCTTTGTATGAGAAAAATATTTGTATACATATTTGTCTCAAATTTTTTTTTTAAAAACTTTATGAAATAGTTTATTTGCCCCCACAAATAGACCTCTCTTTCTCTCTCAAACCCTCCTTTTCCCTCAACACCACTATAACCATTTGTATAAGTGTCGGCTGTATGGGCACAACGGGTCCCATAACTGGGAATTTAATTGATTTTTCTTGATGGACGCACATAATATACAGTCTATATATATGTGTGTGACTATAATATAGAGAAATGGTATTCAATTACTACCGTCACCTAACCATACTATCTCCATCACTGTATAGTAACACACGGAATGCAATATAAATTGCAAAATATAAAGATTTTATTGTATTTTTTTAAGCAAAAAATGCAAAATCCTTTCAATAGGTTTTCTTCGGGCAGATCTCACGCGTGAGTGAACTCATATCCATATACTGTAAACTAGAGAGAGAGAGAGAGAGAGAGAGAGAGAGAGAGAGAGAGAGAGAGAGAGAGAGAGAGAGAGAGAGAGAGAGAGAGAGAGAGAGAGAGAGAGAGAGAGAGAGGACTGAGATGTAAATTGAGACCAAAAACACATACAATTTACACACACACATACATACAACCAGCCCAGGGATATTCAACTGGGATATCGGGTATTGAACCGATCTATTTTTTTAAAGTAAAATAGCTTAAATGAAAATAATCTATACTTTTTTTTATTATATTATATATTACAGTATATGTGTGTGTGTTTTGTGTGAATACATGAACTCTAATGTACTCTAATATTATGGTATGGTATGGGGTCCTAACATAAGGAAATTGGAAACCTCTGGCCCTAGCGGTCAGTCAGTCCCCACAAATACAGTACTTTCTTTTGCATACAATACTACTATGGGAAAGGGCTATAACTGTTGAACCGTAACTAAAGCTAAAATAGAAAAACCACATTAAAAGTCACAATTGTATGTGTGTTTGATGTATTTGCACCACATAATAGTGTGCCAATACTACTATCAGTGATAGCTTTCATATACAGTACTGTATATACTGTATATGGTATACGCCAACACCACAATCATCTATTTTAATGGTTTTTAGTGTACGTACTGACCGAACGATCAGTTATCGATTGCACGGGTTATCAAAGCAACAGTCATTCATTACCAATTTATTTATGCCTGACTACCAGTGCCCGTAAAAATGGACTGTTATTTATCGCCTCATTCTCTCGTTAATTCATTTATTAAAACTATTTTTTGGTTCAGTCTTTTAGCTCCATTTACTAAACATAACTGAGTTTTTAAAAAGTTTAACTCTTTAGTTCAGAGAGAGAGAGAGAGAGAGAATCTTATGTTTTGATGGATAAACTTTTTGAACCAAAAAATTCATTGCAATTACAATATAATCTATAGATTCCTAAAGTCCTGTTATTTGGCACCAGTATTGTCCGGGACAGACATAATACAGTAAACATACGGATCTTTCAATTTACTATCAATAAATAGACGCTTATTCATGTGTATGTGGTATACTATGGTATACTATGTGTGCTATTGAATCGATAAATAAAATTATTTTTAAAACCTTTCAGTGCCTCCTTAAGACCATCCAAATAACAAGTAATACATTACTAATACAAACCAGATATTAAAGGATTGGTTAAAGCATTAATTTTCGTCAATGGATTAAAGATTAATCTCTTATATTGTAATAATAAATTGGATAAATTGATTGGGAAAATAATAGCATTATATTAAATTATTTATTTACTAGTTTATACTTATACATATAAACTTATATATTATATACCTATACTGTATTTAGATTTTATTTCAAATTGTGTGCTGGATATATCAATAGATTTTGCTTTAAAAACTATTTCATATAAAAATTTAAATCAAATACTAATATGATATTAGTTTATTTTTATTTATTTATTAATTATTAATTATCTATTTGAAAAATAGATAAATATCAGTAAAATTAATTATTTATGAATTTTTAGTTTAGCTAACAATTTAGATTTTAACATTATTAATTTAGTTGTAACACTTGTTATGGAAATCAAATTTTTAGTTTGAAAAACTTTTAACATTTTTTCTATCGTTTAGTAGCCATTAAAACATATTATACGGTACTAACTTATCACTTGAAAAAATATGAGAACCGTTTTTGTTAACGTTGGTTATATGACCCGAAACCAATGGACATAACCATTATGTTATAGTCATAAATTATGGTCAACCATATTAAAGTCTAACAGTATTTTCTATGAATATGTGATGCAATAGTTACGAGTGTATGTGTGTGTGTGTGTGTGTGTGTGGGACCACCTGATAGTGAAAAAAGTACCGGAATTTTCTTACCAACAAAACAATACAAACACATAGAAAAAAATATTTCCATAAATTTTGTGAGAAAATATATCGGGAAATAAAGGGAAACCCGAAAACCGATATATATTTAAGAAATACTAGAAATAGATGTGTTGTATTACCCTATTGTCCTATTCAGTTGCACTGGTATTTTATTTTATAAAATAAGTGCATATAATAATAATAATGGGACATATATTATATGAGTCGGCTATCAGTGGTGTGCTGTTATGGTTTAAAATTACATATATGTCGGACCAGAAAAAATAAAAGATAGCGAAATAGCGGTATATTTGTATAAAAATGTGGTAAAACCCACACAAACTTTATAGCCTACCATCACTTATCAACTAAACAACACACACACAGGTATTCACTATACCTGTGCTTCTGTTCATTCAAAACCATATTATTGCTGTGATATTGTTTTGGATATTACAATAAATCGTGTCTAACAATACATAATACAAAGCCTACAATATTTTTGCAGCCATTGATTTGTCAAAAACACACATACACACRCAAGGCATGTGATATATATTTTTAGTATTCAAAGGAACAGTATGTTTTTTCTCTGCCCGATATCTTTACTAAACATCCAAAGCTGTCTACTGAATTGGTATATAAGTTTTAGTACTCCCAATGCCCAGTAAACTGTCATTTAAATTAAGTGAACCGTAAATTCTGTATTCTGTTTATAAGTTTATGTTCGGGTCATACCATACCATACCGGTGCACAAAACACACACACTGACTGAGTGAAAGCTCAGCCACAAAAAACTAGTATTTCAGTCTCACTCTCATATAAGTCAATAACCAGCCAAACAGTCATTTGGTGGAAAGGGATTGAGATGTTTTTGTTGAGATAAGGAATGATAAATATCTATAACTTATATATACTGTATGTATAAAGGCATCAAAATTCTGGTGAAAATTAAAATGTCTTTTTCTTATCGAGAAAATTGGGTTTAAATAAAACAAATTGTTTGTCATTTAAATCTTAGTACTAATTACCCCTTAAAATGCTTCAATCAATTTATTTAACTATCTTTACATTATAGAGTATGACCGCAGCTGCACTCTGGCCTACGATTATCGTTATAATGACGACTGTCCCCAACAATATGGGATAAAAATTCAAAAATATTTTTCTTGTTGTGCAATATATCAACCGATTCTCTCACTCACTCACTCACTGTTTTCCCATCTGTTTCTCACTGAAAAAATCATTCATAAAAAATAATGTTTGTCTAATCTACCGGTGCATTGAGTGTATACTATATATATATAAAATATATATCTAATTGTATGAAAGAGAGTGACTCTCTCTCAGGAATGTGCAAAAAAACGCGTGAGTGTTTGTCGTACAACAGATGCACGCGTTTATATAATAGCACGTGTATGTGTGCCAGTGCATGTGCCAATAAGTGAGTAGTACGTGTGCCTTATTTGATAGTAAAGGTGAGGTGCGCTCCTGTATTTAGATGATAGCTACCTGAGCTGAGCTACCGTTGGTATTATCCATATACACACTAAAAGAATTTCATAATCGACATTCCAGTGGGAAAGTCGGTTATAAATTTGTCTCTCTTTCTTATTTTTTATACATATGATACATAAGCGCATGCAGCCGGCACTGATGGTGCAAACTGTGCTCAGGTAGTTGATAAATAAAAAACTACTTACCTCTCCAACCTTTACCAGTATAGCTCTCACACTTACTCACTCACACACGTCCTGTTAGGACAACTGTGTTATACAAGCTTTTGTCACTAAAAAACCAACTTTCCTCTCAGGAATGTAGGTATGGTCGGTGGATTACACACARCCAYATACGCTCWCACACACACACACACACACACACACACACACACACACACACACACACACACACACACACACACACACACACACACACACACACACACACACACACACACACACACACASACACACACATTATCTTCAATGATTTTTTAACGGACAAAATATAAATAAGAGGGCACTGGTAGGCTGCATAAATGAGCGTGAGAGAGTGCAAACTCTCGACACACACACTCACAAAATCACACATATGTGAAAAGCTGTCTGAGCACTGGTGGCAACCTCTCACACACGCACTCACTCAGTCACTCCGAGTTTCAGCACTCGACTACAAAAATATTTGACTCTCAGTTCCTTGTGCTCAGTTAGCATCAGGTTGTCTACCGGAGCGCACACACAAACACTAACAGTTCCTCTCTTAAAAATTCTCTTAAAGATTCTGCTAAGAGAGTGGTTTACAGTTTATCTCTATTCACACACTCACTCACTCACCGTATACTTTATATAAATACCTTGTGCTGGGAACTGACTATACCATTTGGTAACGGCTCCTGTAGCTCAACACATCCAAATCGTTGAGAGTTTGATTTATATAACGAGAAAAAAAGTTATTTGAAATTTTGTGCAACAAAAAAAATTGCCTAAAGTTTTTTTTAAATAAAAAAAGTGCCCTTTAATTTTCAACGCAATTTAAATATATTATTTTTTGGTAACGGGATATTAAAATATAATAATAATAATAATGACCAAACCATATGAAGTACCGTTTCGTGTTACCGAAAACGACATGATTACCAATAAAAACGGTGTAAAACGTATGTCGAAGCCAATGATGGAGAAGCGACGTCGGGCCAGAATCAACCAGTGTTTGATGCAATTGAAGGAAATGGTCATCGATTCTGGCAAACAAAATCTACAGGTGCGCTACTATAACTTTGATATAATAATATAAAAAAACTTGTAAATTAATTAATAAATTTTTTTCATTATAATTAACATAAAATTTTTTAATTGTTACAGAACTCCAAGTCTAAGCTGGAAAAGGCCGATATATTGGAGCTGACCGTTAAATATGTGCAACAATTACATCAGCAAAAGCTTACGGACCGTAAGGAGAACACTAGTAGTCAACAACAACAACAGTCCACACAATCAATGTTAAGGGATTTTGTTGCCGGCTTTGCCGAGTGCGCCAAACAGGTCGAGGAGTTTGTATGCCATACCCCAGCCGTGGATCCGATTGTCTTTACATCTCTTAACTCACATCTCAATCAATGTATGACTTCGTTTGATTCGACCGCTGACGACACTGTCAACTACAGTGTCATACGGCATACTCGCCAGTGTTGTCCACCATCGCCGGCACCGTCTAACGTGTCATCCGCGTCCAGTTCCAGTAGTACTGGTATCAGCAGCACTAGTGGTCCGCATCAGTCAATGCTCGACGCCATGCAATTGTCACCAGTCAGTAGTGCAGCCGATGAGGACATGCCGTTAAACCTATCCTCCAGTAACCGATACCATCATCACCCGATGATCGATGAGCATAACTTTCCCCATCATTTAATGCACGGTCAGATACTAGACGACAGTGTCTGGAGACCGTGGTAACTGTGCGCTATCATAAACTTTGCTACATACTATTGATATATAAATTTGTTATATAAAAAATCTACGGGTGCTCTACTACTGTAATACGTGTGGACTATATATATTATTATTAAATATCATTAAAATTTTTGTAAATTTTTATTTGCGTATACTTATAGTAACTGAGATATTGTAATATAAATTTAATTAAATATTATATTAATTTTATGTTTCTGTTTATTTTTATTGACAAATACTCTAAAAATATATAAATTAATTGATTCTTGTCTTTCGAATAATATAATAATAATTGTTTTATATTTTGTCATTATTTTTGTAATAAATAGTTATTTAAAAAAATTCACTTGTTCATCTTAATAAATCAATAAATATTTTTAAATATTTTAAAATATAAATCTATATGTTTTTAATTATTTTATTATTATTAAATAGTTATTTTTTAAATATTATATGATTATATTTTAAATAAAAATGAATAAAATAAAATAATTAATAAAATTTAATTTTTAATTTAAGATAAACATACATAATTTTATGTAATATTTTATATTAAAAAAAATTATTTAAAAAAATAAGTATAGGATAGCTTTTATTAATAATCACGAGTCAGACTATTATAATATTATACAGTAATACAGTATATAATAAGCACTTAAATATTTTTAACGATAATTTAATAATTTTTTTTAAATGTATAGAAAAATACTACTAAAGTGCATTTTTATTTAAAGTCCATTTACTAGACATACATTTAATTGTTTGCTTTGTATTAAATAAAATTTTAATTAATTTGTTTCTGCTTGCTAATAACTTCAAAATCAATGTACAGTTTAGGCACAAACCACTTGATAATGCACTTGAAGTACTATATAATATACAATACTACTATATATTCTGTATTATAAGATATGCCGATAAAGTAAAAATAAAATTAAATGATATAACAATCAATACAATTAAAAAGACTGCACGCTTATAAAAAAAATTATTGCACAAATAGATTTAATATTATTATCTATAGTAAATAAATTTAATAATAATTATAAATGTTATTTGAAAAGCTGGAAACCTTTTTATTTTGTAGTCTATAGTTTTAATTTAAAAAATAAATAAATTTTATAGTTAACATTTTGTTGTAACTAGTGTACTACTGTACTAATCTTAAGTATATTATGAATTCAAGCTAAAAAATCATTTTTTTGTGTCTATAATCTTATAAATTATGAGACAATTTTTGTCTTAAAAAACTAAAATATAAATATTTTATACATATATATATATAAAAGTATATAGTATATATATATATAAATAGCATCATAGATAATATAAACATGTCATTTATTTTTTTTGCTAAAAAATGTGCTATTTATAAATATTTTTTTATATCCTGTTAAATATAAACAGTATTAATAATAAGTGAATATATATATGATTTTATGTTATAAGTACTGTATTAAAATTTTTTATATAAACAGTAGTCGACTATTGCATAGACACAACTAAAGTCATGTGAATATTATTTCAGATGATCGTAATCACGGGAAACGTAAAATTATTTGATAAAACAAAACAAATTTTTTTTAGATGTAATTTTAGATTTTTGTTTAGACAAATTTTTATTGATTAGAAATTTTTTTACACACACACACCAACATCAGCTAACATTTTTTTATAGATAAACTCATCAATTCATAAATTGATAAAAAAAACCTTTTGATTTAACGACTTGCATGTGATATAATCAATACTATCATATAATCATTTTCTACAATATATAATATATTTAATAAAGTATATACTGTATTATATAAATATTAATAGCTTAATGAATAGATATATTGAATCAGCATATTATACACAGTATATTATTTTGTTAACACTATAAAATCCATAATAGACTGTATATACTGTACAATATATGTGATTAGTTATCAATTTATTTTTTGTTGTATTAAAATTCAACAATAATTGAGAGCCTGTTTAATGTAATCATTGTCTATAAATATACTGTATATTATTATCACACACTTTAAGCCTAACATTCAATATAAATATTGTATAAATGATAAGTTTTTAAATTTTATTGATATACTGTAATATATATTGATATTTCACGTATTATTGATTATGTGTTCAATCAATATTTATATTTTAAAAAAAAATCTAATTCATTTGTCACACACGAGCCTATTATCAACAATTGAAGTCATCAATAAAAGTGGATGAGGGGGTAAACAAGGGGAGGGGGTAGATTTAATTTTTGTTAAAAATGATTTGTTTCTATAACAAAACTGTCCAACCATAATTGTAGATTACATAATAAAAGTTATTTAAAAATTTTATGAAAACATTTTTTAAATATAGCAGTCTATAATTATTTACTGAAATTATTAATTCGTCTATTTTTTAATAAATAATTGTATATTTTATACCATATACTATTAAAATATTTTAAAAAAAATATCTATATATTATTATTGAAATATTTAAGTCTATTATGTTGACAGCAATTATATAAACGATGTGATTGATAATATCAATTTGATATTGCCTATCGTCAACACATTGTCACACACACACACACACACACACACACACACACACACACACACACACACACACACACACACACACACACACACACACACACACACACACACACACACACACACACACACACACACACACACACACACACACACACACACACACACACACACACACACACACACACACACACACACACACACACACACACACACACACACACACACACACACACACACACACACACACACACACACACACACACACACACACACACACACACACACACACACACACACACACACACACACAACACACACACACACACACACACACACACACACACACACACACACACACACACACACACACACACACACACACACACACACACACACACACACACACACACACACACACACACACACACACACACACACACACACACACACACACACACACACACACACACACACACACACACACACACACACACACACACACACACACACACACACACACACACACACACACACACACACACACACACACACACACACACACACACACACACACACACACACACACACACACACACACACACACACACACACACACACACACACACACACACACCAGTACTGTAGGTATTATAGCTTATAACTTAAACTGCTTTCTACTGTAAATATATAAACCCGAGTTAAAGTTTATAAATATTTAAATGTGATTATTAAATAGTTTTTTTCAAATACTTGATCAACAAATAGTTCAATATATATATATATAAAAATATTTACCACACTAATCTATAGTTGAAAAACTAATTTTGCTTTGTATTATACTTATATACTGTAATTTATATTTACTGTAATATATTTTGAATCATATCATGTTTTTAAGGTGTGTGCTCTAATATAGAAAAATTGTTAATATTGAGAAAATCACGATATTATTAATACATATATAAGATATTGCTTATATAATAAGTTAGATTTTAAATATGTAAAAAACGATGATCACAAAAGAGACCGTATATAATTAGTAGTAACTTTAGATATATGTGACTAAAATTCGGTTTTTATTCAATGAAATATTTGCTTAAAAATATGAAAATATGTGATTATATTTGCTTAAAATAGTAAAAAATGTGATTATAATTGCTTTGAAAAGGCAAAATATGTGATTATATAGATTAATAAATTTATTAAAAATTATATATTAATTAAGTAATTTTGTGTTACAATTTATAATAAAGTAATATTTTATATTTTTATTATTTAAACTTAAAAAACGCATAAATTAAAAATATTTAGCTTTTAAAATGTTTGTATAAATTTAAATTAATCCAAATAACTTTTTCACTCCTATTGTCTTTTAGTAAACACTAGAAAATAACAAAACATTTTATTATTTTTTTGATTTGTTTACAAAAATTAACAAATAAAGTTGCATTGATAAAAAATACTATTTTTTAAAAATTGAACAAATAATACATACAAAAATACATAAGAAAAATGTAATTCAACTATTACTTTACAGTTATATGCGAAATATGTGATAATATTTGATAATATGTGACTACCTTTCAAAATATGTTGTTATATGTGTTTATGTGACTAAAACTTTTGCTATAATTATTGGTTTTCAATCAATCGTTTATATATCTAATTATTTTGTTAATATCTTTAATCACTAAAAATATAAGTTATATGTGAAATAAATGCTCTAATAATTAGCTCCCAGTGCATTTCATTTAGATGAGTGAGTGAGTGAGTGAGTGAGTGAGAGAGAGAGAGAGAGAGAGAGAGAGCCCACCATCAAAGTAAACATATCTAAAAAAGACACTGTATATGATATACAGTACATACAGTATTGCATACGTGATTGGTATTAAAAAACGTATTTTAATAAAATAAACAATATATATATATATATATATACTGTACGTAAACTTTGTATGTAAACTTAATACCACATACACGGCATGTATTATACTGTATGTACTGTAGTTATCTTAGCACTTGATATTTACATTTAAAATTACTTAACCATATATTATAGGTTACTCATAACTGTGCGCTAAGTGTGTGTACAGTTTTGTGTATGTGTATGTGTGTGTGTGTGTGTGTGTGTGTGTGTGTGTGTGCAATGATTATCAGTGCCAAATCACCACCATTTAGACCATCAGTACAATGTTATCATATATATTGTTATATTACAGTATTTTTTGTATACTTGTTATGTCCTTACTGTTCCCATTGTAGTATTTAGTCAACCAAATACTGGTATACAATATCTACAATTTTTATTATCTAATTTCAGTGTAAACATAGCCATATCTCACACTACCTATTTATCATTACCATTACATTAATTTCAACAGTAAAGATATTTATTTACACAAAAATTTACAGTAAATATACAGTATATGGTCTATCAATTTTTTTTGGAGAAA